ACGCGGCCGTAGGCTTTGGCAGGTGGGCCAGGATATTCCGCGGCTTCTCAGGGTACTTGAGTTCTCGAATATAACATTCGGGGAGGGTGGGACGTGGTCGAAACAGGCGGCGTGATGTCGTATGGAAAAGAGGCATGTATACGGAACAAAAAGGTGCACACTTTTTCATGGTCTTGGCTTTTTTTGTCGCTTTGTAAAACGTTTATGAATAAAATACACCATTAGACTAAAACGTGGAGAGTACGCATCTCAAGGAAAATAGCAAAAGTTAAAGAATCGTAAAAACGGACTGAGTTTTTGAACTCTCTACTGCTTCGGGCATTTGTTTCGGGCTGCGTTGGCGGAGGATCAGGGATAACCGAGGGGCCTAAGATGCCTGGTGCGGTAGATGCAGCTACGGGTAGGTTTACTTGTGCGGTTGTGCCAGGTCAAGTTGGAGGCGGATCTTCAAAAAATACAACCTTGAGACGGTTGATAGACACCATTGTTCGGTTATCATTCTGGTCTAAGGTAAAGCGTTTAGGAGTTCGATGGGGAACTCTGAAGTGGGTCGGTGTATGGAGGTTGAAAAGGGCGACTCACTGCGTCTGTGCGGACGAAAACGTGAGTGCAGGTAGTGAGCCCGCTGTGCATTTGCACATCTCTGGTCTGCTCACGTAAAGGGGTAAGGCGCAGCGAACACATGCGTTGAGAAAGGGGGCTGCGAAGTTTGACAGTGGCATACACTATATCGAGGATGGCGAAATAAACTCTCCTGGCAGTTTAACTGTTACGCCATAGTCTACCTGTGCTGGTCAGCTTTGGTGCTGCTGCGGATGCTTAGAAGTATTTACGAGATGTTTTCGCTCCAGTCATGGTCAGGAGTGGTAAAGAGAGATGACTTAAGCTGTCCATGAAAGCGTTCGGCTAGGCCATTCGCTGCTGGGTGTGGATACAGCGATAGACTCAGAAGTTGCAGAACGTATTGAATTGTGAAGATTCTTGAGGAGTTCCACGGTCTGTTGTGCTAGTAGATGGGCATCCGTAGTAAGACATCCAACCGTAATTTTCTTGCATCCGGATAAAGGCCCAGGTGTGGTAATAATGGACAAAGCTGATTACACCGCAAAAATGGAGTTGATTCTGGGAGATGGACGCAAGTTTCGTATTGACAAGACGCTGGACAAAAATATCTTGGTGGAGAAACAAATTACAACACATCTACAAATTCTTTTGCTTCATGGTTATATCTCCGATTCACAATATCGGCAGCTAAAGTCGACAGGGACGGAAACACCAAGGATGAGAGCTGTGACGAAGCTGCACAAGGTGGGAAATCCACTACGCCCAATAATGTGTATGAATAACACCCTAGCATAAAGTAGCCCGGTGGTTACCAAAGCTCTTAGAACCCTTGCGTAAGCGCCTGAGCACGCATTCCTTGAAAGACTCTTTTGAATTGGCGAATATACTGGGACAAACAACGCTCGATGCGGAGCTCATGTATTCCATAGACGTTGAATCGCTTTTCACTAATGTGCCCCTAAGTGAAACGGTCGACGACCTATGCCAATTTCTTTTAAGTCGGAACCTCTGTGGGTCTTCCTCTGGAGTACCTGCGAGACTTGATATTGTTGTGCACTGAGAATGTGCAATTACAGTTTGAAGGGACGGCATACAAACAGATCGACGGCGTCGCTATGAGTAGTCATTTGGGACCAGTTCTGGCAGATTTCTTCTTTGGTATGATTGAAAGGAAAGTCGCTGCCTGCATAGGTGAAGCCAAGTTTACAAGCCTTATGTGGACGATATACTCGTCTTCACAAAGGGTGAACATTTTGGCCGTCTTTCTGCCATCCTGAACTCAATTCACCCTAAGCTTCCTGTACCCCTGCAGAGGGAACAAGAGGACAGACTGCGGTCTTTGGACGTGCTCATCAAGAGAAGGACCGATGGAACACTGCAGCGCACTGTGTACAGAAAAGCGACCTGGGGGACAATACCTACATTTTCCAGCTTCGCCTCAGTTGTATACAAGCGCGGCCTCGTAAAAGCTCTCTTCTACAAAGCCAGGAGGATTTGCAGTCCGGAATTGCTCAAGGCTGAAGAGGAGTTTTTATACCGGACTCTGCTATCCAATAGATATCCGGAGAAATTCATTCAGACCCATAGCAGACCCCCCAAGGAGAAGCTACCAGTACAAACAGTGGAGAAGTAGGATGTTTATTTGTTCTTATCGTTCAAGGGGGATCATGTGACAAATGAAGTTAGTCACAAGCTCAGGTCCACTGTAATGCGCACCTACTCTACCGTTCAACTACGACTTATCCACACTACACGAAGGATTCCTCTCCACAGCCTTCTGAGTAGCTCGCCAATCAATTCGGCCTCTAACATCATCTACCAGTTCACTTGCAGTTACGGTGACACATCTGCAAGACTGGTAGCCGGCTGGCTCAAAGGGTGTCGGAACACTTCCCATTGTGGCTAAGGCAGTTGCTGTCTCACCAAGGCGGAGCGGAGCAGAGAATGAACCGGAACGTTGCCTCGCCTAATGACGACTTGTCACCAGGTGAACCCATTCGATTCATTCAAGGTGCTATTGCACAACAGGAATCCGTCGTTGTTGACATTTGGCGAGGCGCTACTGATAAGGTTGAATTGTCCCGTGCTCTGTGCCCAGAAATAATTGAGGCAATCAATTAGATTGCCTTGGACCTGATTACGTTATTCACATCAATTTTACCTGCTTATCTATGTTACTAAGTGCGGACCGTATTTATTGCGTGTTTTCTTCTGATTTTATTGCGTAGCGACTGACGAGAGCAATAGAAATGTTAACGTATCGCAACCTATATCTTCTTACTGCGTTAATGAATTAAGTCTTATTGAAGTCGCGGAAGTATGGATTAAACAGAAATGTATTATCCATTTGATAGCAAATATTTTCGGCCGTTTACTGTAGTTTGCCAGTACTGTGTACAAAATAATGGATATTGACGACCTCATGTTAACACCCTGTTCCTGAGTGTTTAGTGCCGATTGAATCGAGCTAAAACACTATATGATGCAATGACTTTCTCTCGGTTGTTTCAACCACCTTGAGCTTCTAAAAGTCTCCTGCTTTCTCTTCAGTCGAACAGCTTTTCACCAACCAGTGCATCGCTATTTGGCACATTGGTGTAGATGCACTAACGTTGACATAGACCATCGTTTCATCTTTCGTTTCACACGAATTCATAACGGTTCTTTACAGACATATTCGTTCACCCTGTCAACGACTGCGATATATCGTAACAGTTGCATACAGATCAGCAAATGCAAGATGTTGCTAACCCGGCACTGGTATCACAAGTAACGCGGTAACATTCCGCGAAGCTCACTGTAGTACATCGTGCTTGCGGTGCATATGCTGATGGTTACCTCACCAGTAAGGCCGATCAACAGCTGTGAAGAGGTGATTCGGTCACACCCACGGTTAACGCTTTATGTGCAGTCCGCATTGTTCCATGATAGCGCGTAGTAACACACCGCGCGCATTGATTTTTGCACTTACGCACTACTACCCACACCCGATCATTCGTAGACACCGCTAAGCATAGGTCATACCGCGTGAGGTTGACGAAGATGCGTGTTAGCTCGCATGCAGCTGGCGTCAGTGTAGCCAATCGCTGCTGAGTTTCAGTGTCGAGCACACGCCACGTCCGATGCAGCTGCGCGCAACCATGAGCACTATGAACGCAGACGGAAGAACCCCGGCCATCCAGTTCTGTGTTGTGTGTTTTGAGGCCGTATAAATGAGTGGGTGTGTGAGTGGGTGTGTACTTCCTCAACCACCCATGGATATCATATGGTATGCCGTACGTTATCCTCTAGTGAACAGTTACGTTGTTTTGACGTCGGTGCCTGAATCAGATGGTGTTTTGGGTGGCGCCAAGCCAAACGTCGACATAAACCTAACACGCTGCTGATGTGGGTCTGAATAGTCGTTCATTCTTATATGCCATCAGCTGATTTGCAATTGGCCTCTATGAAGGGCACGCATTTGTGCTTACGCGCAACCTTGGATTCAGCTTGTTTTCCTTATGAAGGTAGATGAATATTCATATGGGGGAAGATGATTTGCTTAAGGGTGGTGTTGATTCCGTTCTGGCTTCAATTGACTCGGAAATGTTATAGGGACTCTAAGTGCTAATCTCGGTCATAAACTGGTTGAGATGGAACTAAATATAAGGCAGTTATTAGCCTAGGTCTCTCTGTCCTGATAAAGGGGTCAGTTAGACAACACGTACTTTTGCTAGTTTCACGTCAATGACGTTCAATTGGACGAGAGCAACGCGACTATACTGACCTGCTCCGAATTGACACCGCCGCAGTGCACGCTGGTTTCATTGCATACCTTCGTCGAAACGCCACACTGTCAGGTGTTGGCGGGTGTGTTGTACTCTTGTTGACTTGCCGGAGTGCTGATCGCGGCATGGCGACGCATCTGAAACGGGAAAGTTAGTCAGCCTTTGCGGTCGTATGGTTGATGCGAGGATTGTCGATGTCGACGCAAAAGCACAAGTAGTAGTTGCAAAATGGTTTCAACTACCGAACAGACTGCTAGAAAAGGATGGGAAAGGGCTTTCTACTAGCCAATGGATAGAGCTGGTAATTTCGAGTCGAATTACTGTAACTTAGTCGGCGTGTGGTGAACTTTGTACAGAAAATCCACCACAGAGCGGAGCATAGAGCGAACGATTGAAAAGGCTTTGCACTGTTTTCACAAAAACGACTGGATAGTTTACCGAATATTTTCCGCTGAGATAAAGAGGAATTGCATGGTAGATAAAAGTCCACAATCCGTTGAGACTGCACGTTGAAGACATACAAAATGTCAGAGCTTCGGGTTCACATCCACCGTTTACGCAGACAGAACAGCTCGAAGTAGCTCGGTTGCTCAAATAACCGTTTCTGGTTATATTAGCTACATTGTCTACTGCATTACATACGACAAACCTTTATATTTGACTTTTTAGTCCATGCTTGCGGTACAAGAAAAACGTTTAGAAGGGGCCATGGAAGAGCTTTCTGAGGCCCAAGCCCAACTAGACGAGAAACAACGCGAACTGGACATAGTACAAGCGGAATACGATCGTGCAATGGCGCAGAAGCAACGGTTGTCAGACGAGGCGGAGGCATGTCGAAGAAAAATGAAAAATGCCACTGCCCTGATTGATGGTCTATCAGGTGGGTTTCCGAAGGGTCATCACGAATATCAATCTTTTGCTCTTACGTGGGCACCTTGAACTGAGGTAAAGGCTCACTAGTTGGGCGCCGTTTCCGTCCCTATGACATCAAAACAATAGTTTATCTTTCTGAGTGAGGCCGCTTAATGTTTGTGTCACACCTTGTTTAAATCAACTTTTTGATATGCATTCTACTTCATCACACTCGACGTGTAAACTTTGTAGGAGAGAGAGTCCGTTGGACGGAAGCCGGTCAAGCGTTCGCTGAGCAAACAAATCGACTAGTCGGAGACATACTTCTAGCCACTGGTTTCCTCTCATACACTGGGCCCTTCAATCAGGATTTCCGAAGACTGCTCGATAAGAGCTGGAGAAAGGAAATGGTACAGAACAAAATTCCACTTTCAGAGGCAAGTTTTTAAGCTCCCGGCTCTTCCTTGAGTGAGATAAAAAATGTTTTAAAGCGACTTGATGCTTGGTAGAAGTTGTGCCATCTGGTACCTACAAAAATTTGCATCTTAACTGATCACTTCGTCTTGCACTCTATCGTTTTATCCACAACGTTTTTACTAACTTGGATTTTGCGTGAGTTCATAGTTTGGCACTGGATATATAGTACGACAATGTAAGCAAGCTCATTAGGCGTGAGTTAAATAGGTCCTTTCACACGAATCACATAAAACCAACCGCAAGTTTATCTGTTCGTTGGTATCAACGGAGCGCATTGGTCAACCAACGAATGTGCTTTACAAATTTTTATGAAGTAGCACATGGGTGTCTGCTGGCGAGGTATCCTGGAACGTGATCCATAGTACACGTGGCTTTGATTAACGCGGAGCTAATTCACGAAATCCAATGTTGGCGGCGGGAGGAGAACATGAGACTGTTCCGGCATATATCACTCGACGACACTAATGGATCAACACCCTAGAGGACAGGAGACGTGTAAGTTCACAACTTCATTCATCGATTAAGGAGATAGTCGGCTTGGTTGTTTCCATTCTTTGTGTTTTAGTGTCGACTAGATCCACGTGTAGGTGGCGATAAGTTGAAAGACCTCGATTGTACTAAGGACATATTATCACACCAAAAGTGCACACTGACGATTCTACCGCATCACATTTCATGGTAATCTAGACAACAATTCAGTCGATGGGCTTGTTGCTACAACACCAAGTTAGTGGCGGGCAATTCAGTTCTGGTTCTCAGAAGCATTCTTGATCATCTAATATACTTCCTCCACTCTTCCTGGTCTCTTATAAACTTTTCTGATTATTCCAAGCAGTCTTCACTGGATCTATTTAACCTTGCCACCTACATATTATAACTATTCTTTATCAGTAGGTTACTTAAGCAATGGATCAGCACGCGATATTTTTCTCCCCATCAGAAATTCCGCGGTTCTAATTATGCCTGTTTAACGTGTGTCGCGTACTTTTGGAATAAATCCTTTATTTATTTATGTAACTAGGTGGAAACGTGGTATAGCTTTAGTTATCGATGGTCGTATATTGCACCCTCCACTCCGCGTGAATGGTGACGCTGTTCTCATTTCGGTTTCCAGGATTTGAATTACATCACCATGCTGGTTGACAGTGCCACGTTAAGTGAGTGGAGCGTACAGGGGCTGCCAACAGATGAGCTGTCAGTTCAAAACGGCTTAATAGTCGCTCGAGCCAGCCGGTATCCTCTGTTGATTGATCCACAAGGACAGGGAAAAGCGTGGATAAAGAGAAAAGAAGAGAAGAATGATCTTCAGGTGAGGAGTATTTTATGACTTACTCCCCGCTTATTTTTGGTTTAAAAGCACTTGAGCAATTTCCGGCGATATCGTAGCAGGAAGATAGCCAGATGACAGTAATTTACCAAGCAGTCTATCGTTGGCTTACCAAAGACCGTTAACTTTTATGTCACCTTACCCTTCAGAGCTTTTACTATTTAGTTGAATTTACTGCCCTCCCGGCGGGGAATATAAGCATCGATAACAGTGGACCCACTTCAGAAAACTTGGTAGACGACCGGTTAATATATTTATGGTGATGGACAACGTTTCGCTTTTGACACAAAACATTCATCAGGCGAAGTGAATTATCTTAACAGTGGCATTTTATAGCGATCGTGACTAAACTACATACGGAGACGAATCAATTTGTAGTTCATCAATGAATGATTACAGCGGTCAAAAGTCAATATGTTCGTGGGTCCACTGTAGTTTGTTTCAGTCAGGGTCAAGTGGGGAAAAGTAATTGCCGGTCCGTGGATAGTTACATGAGTGGTTAGCAATCTTAACTGAACCGTTGCAAGGAACTTGGACATTGATAGAACTTGGCTTTAGTACTTCGTAATTTGGTGGAGGGTGGGTCGGCAGTGTACCCACGAACATATTGACCTTTGATCGCTGTAAGCATTCATTGATGAACCGCAAATTGATTCGTCTCTGTATGTAGTTTAGCCATGACCGCTATAAAATGCTACTGTTAAGATAATTCACTTCGCCTGATGAAGCTTTGGTCTCAAAAGCGAAACGTTGTCTATCACCATAAATACCTTAACCGGTCGTCTACCAAGTTTTCTGAAATGATGACTTCCCGATCGGTTCCAAAAATGTTCCAAGATATTGAGTGGACTCACTGCAATTTTCAGGTGTACATACAGTTTATTTGCGTTGTCACATGTCTAAGTAGCTTGGGTTAACTCATGCAATGCAGGTGATGCAATGCATCAACAAGTCGAATTTTGAAATCAACAAACGTAAGAATGATAACAGAGTGCGGAGAACGATTTACGGCTGGAGTTTACGAGTGGAGACAACATTCTGTTGGCATTTCAACCAGGTCTATTGTATAGCCAAATTCTAATGTTTGCCTCTCAGTGGGAGGTTGTGACTGAGTTTAAATAAGTGTCGGCATGCGTGGTTACGATCTGCCAGGATCCGACACACCAGTATGGGAGTTCCTCGCAATGGAGTATATTATTCACTCAAAACCCTTAGGGTCTTCAGTCTAAATTGGTAAAGGACGTGGAGCAAGCATTTTTAGCCGCCCTCTGTTGTGGATTCTCAAAAAGAGCAACATCATGTTTGTTACGGGCATCACACCTGCAGATCGTATTCTACTTGTGGCCTCACAAGATTTAAGCATCTGAGAAAAGAAGTTAAGAGCAAACCGGCCATAGGCCCTCCGCATTAGGCCCAAGGGTTGGTTGCTTTTTTCACTGCTTTCTCAACCTACCTGGTACATCCGAGAGCGTCCTGTCCGAGTACTCCAAGGCCACTTTCATAGGAAGTGCGCTGTCAAACGTGTTATCCCAGTCAATATTCGTAGATGCTCTTATGACGCATGCTGATTATTCCACATTTGGCAGTGTTAAACTCAAGCATATTCTGAGATAAGCACGTTTAAGCCCTGCTTAAGTCATCATTTAGTAATATGTAGTCTTCTACTAGCTTGCTTGCCCGCCAAATGTTAAGATCGTCCGCAATAGCCAAAAGTTTGAGGTCAGCAGGTTGTTTATGAACACTAGGAACAGCCGTCGTCCTAGTATCGCGCCTTGGGGACGCCACAATACATCATTATGGAGTCAGAAAGGGCTCTACGAACTCACACATTCAAGCGGATTTAGAGTAGGAGTGAGTGTATCCAGCCAAGGACAGGACTGCCGATGCCATAGCTTCAAAGCTTGTAAAAAGGAAGGTGGTGATCTAGGCGATCAAAAGACAGAAAAACCAAAGTACACGTCGTCGACTCCTTCCGCAGCATCTACAGCTTCCTTCCAGCGGGCACAGTCTAGCTATGTTTGGGGTACATAAGCGGTTTCGGCGGGAGCTGTGCTACTCCTGCACCATGATGATGCATCTTTCTAAATATCCCATGAGCGCTTCTGCAACGACAAATTCTATAACCTTTTCAAGCACAGGAAGAATAGTAACGGGGCGGTAATTTGCAACCACAGCACGATTGCCTCTCTTGTAAATAGGGGGGGGGGGAATATTCCATGCTTCTACATAGCTGGAACTCGCATCCCTTCGAGACAGCTTTGGAGAAACCAAAATGCTGATTTACTCATGAGTAGAGGATTTTTATGTAGGTATGTGAGGTTCATCGCAGCCAGTTTCCAAATCAGACAGTCGTCCACATGCCCGGAAAAGCACTAGACTGCAGTTTCAGCCTGTTGGGCATCGTCAGTAGTGCGCATCCATCTGATCCGTCAGGATTCGAACCCATGACCACCAGCGGCTTGAACCGCCAGTCAGCAGCTTATGCCACTGGGCCACGGGGGACAGCTTCGGACCTTCATGATTTACAAGCTAACTGCGATATAGCGCGTCTTATCCCCCACTGCCATGCAAGTTACGAACGTTGCAGAGGACAGGGTTGGCCCCGAAAGACACGACGTCCATTAACAGTAGCTATGTACGACATAGCATTTAGAAACTGTCAGGGCGGATATAATTTGATGTACTCATTGATCATTGTGTCATTTTGAATCACTCTTTGTGTGATACTTGTTGCGAGATATTGGTTCAGCCAAGCTCGTAGCAGCTACCTACAATGACTCGGGATACATGTTGTTCGGACCAGGTGAACTGTACTCCCGTAGCAATATTAGTCGTCACAGCACATTCGTATCAGTGAAAAATATGTGGCAAAGTGCTGATGGTGACGTGGTCTGATACGGTGGTGTGTTCTGGAAAGCCAAGGCGATTTGATATCGAAGAGCGTTGGCTGCTTCCTGCGCAGTTTGAGCTTACCCACAGACGGTGTTTAGAGGATGGATGCCTGGCTATATTTTGCTGTTTGTTAACATGCCTGTAAACTAGCTTAGGATTAGTGTAAAGATTAATAGATAAATAAATAAATAAATTCGTATAGTTACTGACAAGCCATAAGCAGCAGCGATAGTTTAAATTCTGTTTGACGCAATGGTCTCCCTCGGATATGCAGACGTTCCAGTTTCGACGTATGGATTGACTTTGTATGCTTGCCATAGTGAATCTTTCCAGGTCATTCGTTTCCGCGGCCTACTCCACAAAAGTGTTAACATTTATTGAGCTAGGAATCTTAGTCGGTGATAGGTTTATCACTAAAGACCCATAGTGTTTGACGAATTTCTCCTAAGTGACATCGACGACCAGCCAGTGACCCAGAAGAGGTCGGGTGTATTATATGATGTCTTACGTAATGGACCTGCCCGATGTTCCCTTTGAAGTGTTCTGCCTAACCGATGTAGCGGAATAGCGGTGTCGCCTGATCGCAACGCTCGAAGGAGCTACTCATTATTAGTGCATGAATCATAAGTTCCTTATTGGTAAACACGAGGTCCATAGAGACAGGTATGTTCTCCCTGCTGAATCTCGTAGAGGAGGTAGCGTGATTATGAGATAGTACGCCAGCAACAAGATCTTGAATTTCTGCCTTAACCCAAACAATAGGGGAGATCGGCATCTCTAGAGCGTACAACTTTGTTTCCCACAAGTAGCATTTGGCCGTTAGGCTGTATAAGAACGGTTTTCAGGGCAGAAACTAGGTGGCTGACCGTTTCTAGAGCGAACATCGGGAGACGGTCTACGAAGCAACTAAGCATGTGTCGCCACGTCCTAGTTGCAGATGGTAACAGAATGAGTCCGAAATTTGAATCCCTGCGTCAAGACAAGTCACAAGAGCTTTAACCACGCATGTAGGTGCGATTTTAGCGTTTCACACCGTTACACTGTGGAATCTAATACAACAATGCATCAATGAGAAAGTAAAAATTGACGGCAGTAAGACGGAAAGTTCCACCTTTAATAAAACATGCGTCACGAAAGCGGTGTTTATTTCTATTGGGTTGATTAGTAAGCGTGATAGAAAAGACAGCATGGAGTTTCACTACGACGAAGCACGGGAATAGTAAACATGCAATTTCGGCCGTGAAGTAGTATATGTAATGCTGACTAGGATAGTTTTAGCGGGTAAGAAAGGTTCGTTCAATACCTTGGAGGAAAACCCAAAGCATGCGTCGAAATGTTTATTAACGATAAAACTAATGAGCGGTTCTCTCCTTGGTCCAGAGTAAGGAGAAATAAAGTATAGCAAACGGAAGTGAAAAACATGACTTTTTGAAGTGGTCCGGGGAACATAACAGCGGAACAGGATAATCAGTGAAGAAGAATAGATGCAGTTACAAATCTTAGAATTAAAGCTTAAGGAACGAGAGGCATTTTGCACCTAAGGGCGTAAAAAGAGTCTCAACTTTTTGAAAGTTTCAAGACTATGTGAAAACCAAGAGGATTTGTGAAATAGGAAAACCCCGAGATATTTCACGGTAGAGGAACAAGGTATGCCTTGGTCATCCACAATCATAGGAGGGAGAGATATGGATAAAGGACCGCAATCTGTTGTGATGTTGAAAACAGGACGCGACGTCACAACACTTAAAATAGTTGAGTGGGACCGGGAGCTCGACCAAGTCACTAGTTCGTCTAACGCTGGTTAGAGTTTCAATGGGTCCACGATAAGTAGGGTTTTGCAACCACAACACTGATCATAGTGGGACACTGCAGTCTATTTCAGTAGGGTTGGACCATGAGTCCCGAACGCAAACCGGTAGCCACTGCTGAAGAAGGAAATTTCCGATCCTTCCAAGGACAGGATTCCCAATTTCGTATGTTTGCACCTTTTGGAAAAGTATTCGGCGATCTAAGCAGTCGAAGGTATTAGAAAAGCCAAGATAGATAACACCGGTTCCAGTCCCACTATCCGCTATTTCGGCCCAACTGCC